AAATAAATAGGTTAGACACAGCCCTTGTCCTCAGAGCAGTGGTGAAGACAATTGTTTGGCAATATGGAATACAACTGAGATTTAAATACAGGAAGCCCAGGTAAAATTTTTTTCAAACACCCTTAAGAAAACCACCTGAAATGTAAATTGAATTTAAATATAGTCACCCGGGGGCCTCCCCGATGGAGCAGAGGTTGAGCGCTGGGTTGTGAAGCTGTCCGCAGCCTCTGCGGCGCCGGTTCTATTCCCGGCTGCTCCCCGGCCACCGGAGGAGGGTCCCACATGGCCCGCAGACCTCTCCTGCCACCCGCTGCTCCCCTCAGCAGTGTACTTCGGCCCTTCTGCCTGCTCTGCTCCCCACTCTGGCTCTGGTGAATTCTCTCACCCTCCCGTGCATCTGAATGTACCCAGTGCTTGCATAAGTGAATAAATAAATTAAAAAAAAGGTAAAAATCATCATAAAAAGTTAATGAATTTGTTTCATTAAAAAAATAAAAAATATATAGTCATCCTATGGTGATTGTGAATGGGTGAATTGGTGGTGGGAATTTCACGGGAAATCATACATTGTACAAAAATGAAGGATGATGCCGTGTGTATGTGTGTGTGTATATATATATATATATATATATAATCTACATATATATACAGTCACCAAATCATTTATCATACAGAGACACTTCTCACAGTGAAAGGGCAAACAGGCATGTGAAAGGGCAAGGTCCATTATAGCAACTAAAAATTTCTATTTAGTGAGCCTGCTAAATGTAAGGAAGGAAATTAGGCCAGGAAAATAAGCATAGTGCAGATTCTAAAATCCGTATAAATCAGGAAAGCTAAGTGAAAAAGTGAAAGATGGTTCTGTATTTGCAGAATATAAATGACCAAAGAAAACAAGTAGCAAAGCAAGAATAGTCAAAGCCTTGACTTTTGTTTGAAAAAAATAAGTTGATGGCAGTGTGGAGAAAGTGTAAGTAAATAAAGGTATCAAAGATATCAGAGGGGAAATGTGGAGCGGGCACAGGTTTTGGGGGTCATGAAATGTTTTATTGTGTGATTGTACGACTGTGCATATACAGAGTCTTTGAATGGTACACTTTGAATGGGCAAATTGTATGGCAGGTGAGTTATAGTTCAATAAAGCTGGTTGGGTTTTTTTTAAGGCATTTAGGAAATTGTTATGTACTCTAGGTGAAATGGTAAGAGTTCTAGTTTATGAGGATGAATTCAAGAGCTATTTAAGAGAAGCTATGGGATCTTGTAACTGACAGGATATGAAGATGAGGGTGAGGGAAGAATTAATCCAAGATTCTGTCTTGAGTAGCAGGTGGATGGTGGTGTCATATACAGAAGCAGGTGAGGTGGAGTCTTAAGACATTTTGAATTTGAAATAACCTTTTGAGACACCCAAGTTGGGTATATCATGGAATGTTTCTCAATTGGTATTATGGGACACTAATCTCTATGTGATGGCATTGGGAGATTCGGCCACTGGCTACTAATTAGGTAATGAGGGTGGAGCTCTCGTGATCTGATTAGAGCCCTGATCTTGGGCTCCCAGCTTCCAGAAACTGTGAGAAATAAATTTCTGTTATCTAGAAGACACCTGGTCTATGGTAATTTGTTATAGCAGCCCAAGCTACCGCAATATCCAGTCTGGGCTGAAGGGAATCAGCATGTCTTTGAGTGAACAGTACTACATAGGGTTTTGTGCGACTAGACCACAATCACAGAGATGGTTACAGGTGAAATCAGCAAGTTTGAAGAAAGGCTCCAGAGGTAGGAAGAAACCAGGGGAGCATAATATCACAAATCCATTTTAGGGTCTTTCAAATTAAGTGTTCCAGCAGTGTAAAATACTATTATGTATCGTACAAAAATTAGGTATGAGGACTGTGTACTTCAAAAAAAAAAAAAATTAAAAAAAAATTACTAAAAGTTTGGGTGGAGTCCTAATATTACAGAGAGCATAAGTTCAGTGGTAGTTAAGTTGTGGCTCCTCACACAAATAAAGCAAGGAATTAAGCTTGTGAGGGGGAAAAGAGGGAAAGATTTTTCCTTTAAAAAGGCTTGGTTGTGTTTAAACAAAGGGCAGGACCCAATTAGAGAAGCTGAAGATATTGATGAATGAGCTGGCTGCCTAAGAAACAGACTGGGGAGGCATGCTTAAAATTTGGATAGAGTCCAGGATTCTGTATTTAAGTTCCTGACACGATTTTGGCACACCAGTGTGGGAACCAGTGGAAGGTTGGACTACAGATCCTTAACACCTTTATTGTCTGCCTAAATAGGAGAGGGAGAACCTATAGTGTTGCAGGTACAGGAAGTTTCCCCTCTATCATTCCCTGTGAAGTAATATGCTAATAGGAGAGTGGTGAGAGTGAAGATTTAATGAGACTGGAGGTCTCACATTGTTTTGAAGAATGAAGGACAGCTTATGTTAAGGACCTTGCTGAAGACAGTGATGGCAGATTATATAGTGGCACCCATCTGTACCATCATATGGTTTTGTCACCGTGCTCTGTAATCCAACTATAAACAGTTTTGGCTATAATGACAATAGGGCAAAGTTTAGGATATTGCCAAGCGAGTGGCAGAAGTATTGCCAGATGGATCTCCACTGGATAGATGGAGAGGGAAGAAAAAGGGCAACTAATGGAACTCTTAATAAGAGAATAATTTGATGTATTGGGTTCATTTCTAACTCCCAAAGTCCTTTGAATGTCTGTTTTCAGTCAACCTTTTTTTTTTTTTTTTTTTTTAAAGATTCACCTATTCATGCATACAAGAACTGGGGTACAGGCCAGATGCTCAGGATGGTGAGAGGATTCACCAGAGACAGAGTGGGGAACAGAACAGGCAGACTGATCGAAATACACTGCTGAGGGGAGCAGCGGGCACGACAGGAGAGGTCTGCTGCACCATGTGGGTTCTTGCCAGCTGGCCGGGATCGAACCCGTGATGCAGAGGCTGTGGACAGCTTCACAGTGCTGCGCTCAACCACCTGCACCACCAAGGGAGGCCCCTTCAGTCAACATTCTTATCACCAACTATTTTACAATGTAGGGGAATGCAGCCTACCTTCAAAAACATCTATCATCTTGTACCAAGACATAAGGATACTGACTAGATTGACTGGTGCAATTTAACAGGTCAAAGTACTAAATAAGGAGAGTCTTTCCAGTACAGGAGGTGGGCATCAGGAAGCATTCGTTTTAAAATTGCTTTACATCTATTTTTTTTTTAAAGATTTATGCATATAAGAGCTGGGATACAGGCAAGAGATATGGGGGAAGTGGGTGAGAGGATTCACCAGAGACAGAGTGGGGAACAGAACAGGCAGACTGACCAAAGTACACTGCTGAGGGGAACAGCAGGTGAGTCAGAACAGGTCTGCTGCGCCATGTGGGTCACCTCCCTGGCCAGGGATCAAACTTGTGCTGTAGTGGCTGTGGTGAGCTTCATAGGTTGCGTCTTTAACCCTTGCGCCACCAGGGAGGCCCCTTTACATCGATTTTGAATAATACAGAAAGACAGTCACAAGCACAGTAGCGATGAAAAGACCACTCTGAGCAGAAGAAGTCGCATACAGAAGGCAATAAAGTATAGGTAAGACTGATTAGAAGTTACGGTTTATAGCACACATCCACTGTTGGTAGGAATGCAGTTGATGCAGCCCTATGAAAAATGGTATGGAAATTTCTCAAAAAAAAAAAAAAATATATATATATATAAATACCATGATTTAGTGGTATCACTTCTAGGTATTTACCCAAAGAATATGAATACAAAAGATTTATGCACTTCTATGATCACTGCCATTATTCACAAAAGCCAAGTCATGGAACCAACCTGTGATCATTGACTGATGACTAAAGAAACTGTGGTATATATATTCAGCTATTAAAAAAGATAAAAAAAATAGTGCCTTTTGCAACACAATAATTTTGAGGTGATGATGAGCTAAGTGAAATTAATGTGAAAGATGGTTTTGTATTTGCAGGATATAAATAACCAAAGAAAACAAAGGAGCAAAACGAGTAATTTTGAGACTTTGGAAAAAAACATTAGTGACAGGATTGTGGCACTGGCCATGTGGCAAAGGGTGAGATAGATAGATAGATAGATAGATAGATAGATAGATAGATAGATAGATAGATAGAGAGACAGAGAGACAGACAGACAGATACGGGTACAAAGTTATACAGTCCAAAATTACGGCTATGTGAATGAGTAGCAAAATTTGAGAAGTTACGGTTTGTGTGAAAACAATGCAAGATTAGGATGTAAAGATAATTTAAAGCCCAATCACAGAGAGCCTTAAATGAACCAAAGATTTTGAACTTCATTTTAGTAGGCAGAACAGTACGTTCCAAGAACAGTAATCCAGTGTCAAATGCTCCTATTTAAGACCTGATCCAGTGGTTCTCAATGGGACTACACAAAAGAATTACCCTTAGTGTTCTAATGTGAACAAATGCTGGAGGTATCAAGCCAAGTTTTTAAAAGTACCCCATATTATTTTAATATGCAACTATGATTGAGGCACTGTTTTTATTCTGTAGTTTATATTGAACATAAAGGCTCAAATCAGACAAAAAAATGAAAAGTTGGGCCTCCCTGGTGGTGTAAGGGATTAAGCACAGCACTATGAAGCTATCCACAGCCTCTGCAGCACAAGTTTGATCCCTGGCCGGCAGGGAGCTACCCACATGGCACAGCAGACCTCTCCTGTCTCGCCCACTGCTCCCCTCAGCAGTGTATTTCAGTCAATCTACCTGTTCTGTTCCCCACTCTGTCTCCGGTGAATCTTCTCAACCCCCACACCTCTGGCCTGTACCCCAGTTCTTGTATGCATAAATAAATCTTAAAAAAAAAAAGTCAAATATATATGTATGTCAACAAAATTCTAAAGAAACCACCTCTAACAAGCTAAACAGACCCCATGAAAATTACAAAGTACACCATTTTACCATCCCATCACAAAAGAAAAACAGATCTTGAATATATACAATTTATTTAATAAATTAATGTCATTCAAAATACAGTGCCAGAACATTATGCAGTTGAACATGCTAGTAATGTTTGTCATGAAGCACCTGTGCTCATGTTAGATTGGCGGCACCCCGCTACTGCTAGTGGTTCCTGGGATTAATGCCAGAGCAGCACTAGTTATCTGCTCTTCTGCACAGCTAGTGCAGAGAATTCCTGAACAGTTCGCCTTTCTAATCCTACCCACCCCACACACACACACAACAGGTTAAAAAAAAAAAAAAAACACAACCTGACAGCTAACGGATATCTATACACAATCACTCTACAGTAATGCTTGTTATTAAATTAAGATGTAATGACCTGGTTAACCCACTCTAAATCTTTAAGATGGAGAAATACATCAGCAGCAGGTAGTTATATGCATGAGCCAATGTTAATGTAATACAGAAAGTGGAGGCATTTACTGATTAAAGCTCCACCCAGACCCGCACAATGAGGGGCTAGCAATTCTTATTGCAAGCCCAGCAACTTAAGTCCACACCTGGTAAATGACCAGCTGACTGGAAGACCTGTAGTCTAGAGAGACAAAAATAAGTTAGTGAAAAGGGAATACATGCACCTAATAGTATAGTTAGACTGATCCTGCAGTCAGAGCTTTCCCTGTAATACCATAAATGGAAGATCTTCCTCAACTATAGCATAGGATTTAAACATTTCTATACCAACATGGACGTTAGTGTTAAGTGCAGCTGAATTAATTACACTGAAAAAACTGTATTCCAGGACTTCACAATAGAAGCACAGGAATGAAATACATATACTAAAATAACCTCAGCACAATTTGTGATATACCACACTAGGAACAGGAAACTACTTTAATAAGTGAACTTTTTGAACTGTACATACACAGGGCTAACAATGTTAGATAATCCAGATTTTTATGCTCTCATGATACACATAGAAGTTTCTCAATTATTGTATAATCTATTTCATATTGTGGAAGCATATCTTTCTGTAAGACTCACTGATATATATTATACTGATGCAAATATTAAGTAGGGCATAAAAATAAAATTTATCAAAGATAGACTTTACTCATATTTAGTCCTTTCATAGCCTCTCTTGTTTAGCAAAGAAAATGACAAAGTACATAAATCAGGCGTGCACTCTGTGAACTCCCCAACTATACAGGTGGTAGTGCAACCATTTCTCCATCCAGTTCAAACTCCTCTGTCCCGTCTGGTGAAAAAAGGTAAGTTGGTGGTTTCCATGGAGATTCTTCAAGGCAGGATGGATAAAGTTTCCCCACAGTGCATCGAAAGTCTCTCCCTAAGTCCCACAGCACGCGTTCGGATATATGCTGCCGCAGAGACCACCGGTCAAGTTCCAGATCATATTGGTAGGTGACATATTTAGCTCTCTCGTTTAAGTGGGTTTCTCGCATAAACACACACAGAGAATTTGAGATCACAACAGCTCTAACACAGGGGTCCGAGTACCTCTTTGCAGGGATGTTGGCTGCCATTTTCCACTCATTTTTAGTCACATCATAAATTTCCACAGTTACTGAAGACCCATCTACGGTGCCAGAGGGGAGTCTTATGCCAGAATTGGTAGCTATATGCAACCCTCCAATGTAGAAAATTTTATCACCAAAAGCTGCAGCAGAAGCAAAAGATCTACTAGTCTGTCTCATGGCCATTTCAACCCATGAGTCAGACCTTGGAAAATAACAGTACATGAGGTTCAGTGTCATCACATAAATGCAATCATGAACCACAACGGCTGCACTCCACTGCCAAGCGCAAGGCAAAGGGCTGACCATCGTCCACTCATCCTTCTCAGTGTCGTATCTTTCCACAGTCCTCCGATTCAGTTCTCCACCTACACTATCTCCTCCAATTGCATAGATATAGCCTTCACAACAAACCAAAGATGGTTTTATGCGGACAAAAAGCATTGGTGTCTTTGGGAACCACGTATTTTGCTGTGCATCAAACCAATAAAAGCAATTCACAGTTCTGAAGGCAGTCTGAAGTTTGCTTGTTTTACTGTGATTTGTTTTTGTGTTTTTCAGAGGAACCTGACCCCCTGCTATATAGATGTCATTATCAGGAGTTACAACGGTTCCCACCTTATGCAAATCAGCTGGTGGGCTGCATAACTTGTAAACTTTTTCTGCTTGGGGGCTGTAACAGACAGAAGAGTAAAGACCACAAGAATTTTCTGAAGATGCTTCAATGAAAATCATCATCTCTTCTTTAGTCATTCCAAGTCTTGGTTTGAAAAACTTGGGCATAGACTTATATAGACCCTGAACTACTACAGACTTATCATTGGGTGGCAGACCTTGAAACCAAGCTCTCTGTGTTACTTCTGAAAGTGCATCAATTCTGATTTGGCTAAGAACTGAAGACAAATACTGGGATCGTGATTCCGTGTTGTACTCTAGCCACAGCATAGCAGCTTCACGAACTGTTTCCTCTTTTTCTACATTTAAGTTGTCACTACTGAGAATGTCTATCAGTAGGTCATGTGACAGCTGCATGAAAGCTTCCTGGTGATACACAACAGTGAACTTGTGTTCCACCATTCTTTTAGCACTTTGTTTTAACTCCTCACAGCTGAATAGATCAGCAAAACTCAACAATCGCACACAATTCTCTGCATTAATTTTTTTAATTAAATATTCTCGACAACGTTGTAACACATCTTCTACCTAGAATGGGAAGGAAGAAAGGATGATAAAAGCAGAATAGACAAGTCATATAAAACACTGTATCTTAATCAGACCTCTATACTGTAGCTTTCTATTTTTAGATACATGTACTTGGGTTAATGTCTTTCAAAAATAATTAGAAGACTATGTAGAATATTGCATGTATTCTTTCTGCCCAGTGGCCTAGTTTACTCAACATGAAAAAGACAGCCATATTAAACCAGAACATTGTGCACAATGACTAAGAATAAGTATTATTTCCCCTTCTTAGCTAAAGGTAAGAAAACCAAACCCGAGCCTCTGACCTGTACCCCAGTTCTTGCATAAATAAATCATAAAAAAAATTATTAAAAAAAAAGAAAAGCAGATCTCAGTTGAATAAGAAGTGTTACCTACTCTGCTGATTCCACATCATAGTGGTTAACTAAAAGCAGTTTATGATGACAATCAGATTGTCTGCATTGGAAATGCAGCCCTTTTACGTTATTAAGCAAGTAGCTTGCTTCTCCAAGCTTCAGGTGTCTTTTTTTTAATTATTTTTTTGATTTTATATATTTTTTTTCATCATTTTTCATTTTTGCACAATGTATGCATTTTCATCTTGATTATAGTCCCCATACAATTCCCAACCTCCCCCTTGTTTTGATCCTACTCCCTCCCTCCTCCCCCCATAGTGTCTCTCTGGTTTATAGTTCTCAGCTGTCTTTTAAGTAAGATGGGGAAATAATAGTTGTCCACCTGAAGGGATTATTGTGGGGATTATTGTAGGGATTAGTGAGAATTTATGTAAAGAAATCAGTAGGTACCTGGCATATAAAATCATTATAATTTCATTTGGTTAACAGTGAGAGTCACCTGGACAGTCATAAAGTGTCCCATCACAGGGGTGCCAGAACAATCCCATTCAAGAGGCAGAGTCCTGTTTTACCCTTGGACAAGTACATGCATATGTGTTTCATTAATATGGAAAAAAAATTTAAGGCACGGTGTCACTATTTATAGACACAAAGTGTCCCAGAATCCAGATAGTTTCTGGCTTTAAAGAAGGTGATAAAAACTTACAAGCTAAAGAAAGACAGCAGGCATTTCCCGCTTCTAAGTTTGGACTTAAATGTGACCGCCTTTGATTCCAAAGCACCAGGAAGCTACAATATCTCGTTTTCCCAGTGTTATAGGCACAACAGGACACTACACAGTTTTTATACTGGCTGTCGGGGGGAATACAAAAATAAAAAGGAAGTACATAGCCATCGACTGAGTTCTGATTTCCAGAGTTACAGCAGACACTGGTTGTTTAATCCATGGCATTCATATTAATTCACCACACATTTATCAAATAGCTACTAGGTATCATGAACGGAGTTCCCCAAATTTAACCTATCGTCTAGAGGTTCTCCCCCTTGGAGAAACTGTTTCTGAAACACAAAGTTTTATCCAAAACAGGTAAAAAATTGAGGAAAATATATTTATATTCCTCTTAAAATTTAAAAATTTTTCAAGAGGGAAAGTATACAGAAAAACAATTTATTATATGTAAATATATCAATCATCACTTTTCATTTATTTTAGTTTAAATACTTATTAGTTCATTATAGTCGATTATAAATGACCATATGGTTATTATAAATATTTAAGTGACAATTTCCATATGAATCTTGAAATTTCCTGTGAGAATATAAAAAATTAGTACATTTAAATTTTAGCACACATAAAATTGAAGCATTTAAGTTTAATAAACACTTTTAAAAATATTTTTACGTGAAATCTAAATTCTCACATACATTTGGTAGATTATGAAACAAAAATGAAATTTCCAACTCTAAAATTCCATCAAAAACTAAATACATTTACTTGCTGATCAATTCTTATTGCTTTCCCATTACATACCTCAATTTTTTTTTACTTTTAAAATCTGCAATTAGAAAATTACAAAGATATCACTAATAAAATTTTTCTTAAAAAAACAAACCATGGTTCAAGTATATAACTGAGGGAAAAAAACTACTTACCTGCAGGAAGCAAGCTGTTTCATAAAGTTGTTCTACAGTGCTATCATTTATTGCCAAGTTACCCGTGTATGCGTAAGTTATTATTATCTGTAAGGTGGCTGCATCCACGTTCCTCAGGTGTACATGTGTCTGTTTGCTTTCGCTTAGCCCACTCATGAACATGGCCCTACAGTAGAGAAGGGAATAGCGAGGCTTAAGGGTTTAGTGTAAAACAAATGTAGAGCTAAAAAAGAAAAATTAGATTACATGGATATTTATTTAGCATATTTGCTGATAGAGAAGACTTGAGACAAACGAAAAGTATAATCCAGTGCCAAAGATGTACCAAACTATACCACTACAACATTTTAAGTGAAAAGATCAACATTTAATTATTACATATAGTCACACAATGAAATGCTATTCAGCAATAAAAAAGAAGTCCTGAAGTATACAACACAGGTGAGACTCAAAAACATGCTTGATAAAAATTTAGATACAAAAAAGACCATTTATTGTATAACTCAATTATCTGAAATGGCCCCCAAAAACAAACACAGAGAGACAAAAGAGAGGTCAGTAGATACTTAGAGCTGTGGCTAAGAATGGGGAGTGACAATAAGTGGGCACAAGGTGATAGAGATGTCCCAAATTAGATAGTAAAGATGGTTGTGTATCTCAGTAAATATAGTAAAATTCATTTAATTATACACTTAAAATGGGTGGATTCTATGGTATGTAAATTATCTCAATAAAGTTATAAACAATGTTATTTACTCAAATGATATTTATTTATTCAGAAGATTACTTACTCAAAAGAAGATTATTTACTCAAAAGATATGCAGAACAATGTCCTAAAAATCTACCATATTCAAGACATATGCTGGAAATGTAATTAGCATTACGGAGAAGACAAAGTGGAATGCCCACATACAAGTGAGAGATGAAAAAGTCAACCAAAAAAACACTAGCATATGCACAGGAAAGCCCATAGTGATCAAAGTGGGCATCGTAATTGTCACTAGTTTGGCCCTTCAAAAAACAAGGAAATAAGGCATTCAAAATGGTTAAAAATTGTGGGTAGAACGTTAGACTTGTTTTGAGGAGGGGCATGGCTGAACATAAGGACTCAGGCAGGAGACAGGAGAGTGACCTGGAGAAGTGAGTGGCAGTGAGATCACCAAGCACTTTTAAAATGTGACATAGCAGTATGGACTTCTCACAGAACACTGAAGGGCTTTAAGATGACTTTTTTAGCATGAAATACTGTTTTCTAGGATCAATACTCCACATTGAGAGACCTAAAGAGTCAAAGGCCAGAGACAGTAAAAATGATTCTGAGGCTACTGCAAAAAATGTAGATGAGAGGTAGTAAGACCTGAGCTATGTGGCTGAAGTGGATTCAAAAGCTCTAAAACAAGACCTGCTGATTTCTGAACACAGGGAATAGAAAAGAGCAGAAAGTAGATAGGGAATCAAAAAATTACCTATTCATTTTCCAGTAACTAACTGAAAAAATATTGTTAGCTACTGAAAGAAAAAACATAGGGAAAGGAAGAACATTAATCCTGGGAATTAGATAAGGGCAGTTAAGTCAAATGGAAAGAGTACAATAATAAAATGTTTAATATTAATGGAGCTTTGGAGAAGGTGAGGCATTAATGTAGTACACCTACAAAATGTTACAACTAAATGTTAGATGAGGCAGATTAAACAACTATCCAAAAATTCCAATGACCAATCTGAAGTAGAGTTAAATAATGATTAAAAAAACCCAAAAAACAAAAGGTTAGGAAAAATTCATCAGAGAAATAAGAATCACTAGGCTGGCACAAAGCTACTCAGTGCAAAAGAGGTTAAGGTGTCAAAAACTTGGAGTCAAGGTTAAGAAACACTGAAAAAGCAATTAGGTAGTCGCTGTGGCTTCCCATGTAGCTCAGAATGCACAGTTAAGACAGCAGCCAGGGGCCTCCCTGGTGGCGCAAAGGGTTAAGTTTCAGCACTATTAAGCTATCTGCAGCCAATGCAGCACCCAGTTAGATCCCCCCACATGGCGCAGCAGGCCTCTCCTGTCTTGACTGCTGCTCCCCTCAGCAGTGTATTTCAGTCAATCCACCTGTTCTGCTCCCCACTGTCTGGTGAATTCTCTCTCTCACACATACACACACCCCACACCTCTGGCCTATTTATGCGTGAATAGATTAATAAAATAAACCTCTTAAAAAAAAAGACTGGCACAAACAACATCAATCAGGGTACGGTGGTAGATGACTTCTTCCTGAAGAATATAGGATGGCTCTAAATAAAATGGACCAAGTAGTGGAGAGCAAGAAGTGTTCTTGAAAAACATCTAAGACATGACAAGAAATGCTTTAAAACACCTATTGTTGGGCCTCCCCGGTGGCGCAGCGGTTGAGCGCTGGGTTGCGAAGCTGCCCGCGGCCTCTGCGGCGCCGGTTCGATCCCCGGCTGCTCCCCAGCCACCGGAGGAGGGTCCCACATGGTGCGCAGACCTCTCCTGCCGCCCGCTGCTCCCCTCAGCAGTGTGCTTCGGTCCTTCTGCCTGCTCTGCTCCCCGCTCTGGCTCTGGTGAATTCTTTCACCCTCCCGTGCTTCTGACTGTACCCAGTGCATGTATAAACAAAAACAAACAAACAAATAAATAAATAAAATAAAAAAAAATGCCTCTATAAAAAAAAAAAAATAAAATAAAACACCTATTGTTACTGGTTTTTTCTATCTGACACAGGAGAACAGGTGCGAACCAAAAGAAATCTGTTAAAAAATATGCATAACTAAATCTTTAAAAAAAAAAGTATAAGAGCTCTGAATATAAAAAATAAAAATGGAAGATGTAAGCATCAAAGTGTTTGTGTTTTTTTGGTCAATTCCAGTAGCAGGTAGTAACTTTAGGAAAGGGAGTAGCTGATTATACAGATGACAAGGGATCTGGTTACTCTACACTATGGTTTAGGACACCAGAGTGATGAAATTCTGTGAAGAATTATGATGCTTCCTGCAGACCAAAGACAGAAGCCTAGCCAACCTGATATTACAGAGAAAAATAAACTATTTCAGAGGTTCTTTTGATTTCAGAGGTTCTACTGTTTCTTGGTAGAACAGAAGGGTAACAACAAAAAGTACAGTTTAAAAGGCAAAAATTTTCAAATTGTAGGTTTTGACAGTCATAAGTGCTATAATTTGCAGAGCCCCTAACCTAAAGCCCCTTGCGCTACTCTATGGCTGACCCCTCATAAACAAAACCTTTTGCTTTTCAGCCTCATTTATATGTGATCCTCTCTTTATCTGTTTAAATGTCAGAGAGATGACCATGGCACCTTAATTTTCATTTCATATCTTTTAAAAACAGTGACCACAGGGCCTCCCTGGTGGCGCAAGGGGTTAAGGACCACACTATGAAGCAATCCGCAGCCTTTGCAGTACAAGTTCGATCCCTGGCCGGCCAGGGAGCAATCCACATGGCACAGCAGACCTCTCCTGACTCGCCCGCTGCTCCCCTCAGCAGTCTGCCTGTTCTGTTCCCCAATCTGTCTCTGGTGAATCCTCTCACCGTCCACCCCCCACCCCGGCCTGCATGTACCCCAGTTCTTGTATGCATAAATACATAAATCTTAAAAACAAAAAAAAAGTGACCACAATAGCAACATTTCATAAGGAAATGCCTTTGGGCACCAAGAAAACACTGTAATTTTTCAGTAGGTTGTTATCTTTTCTTCAGAGCTAAGACTGATAAATTGTACACCCACACTGCTGGATACAAATCAAGGTACTATCTAAGGCACAATTTTCCAGAGGAACTAGAAGTCTGAACATTGAGTCATGCACTTTAATAATCCTCCTGTGTCTTTTAAAAAAAATTATTAACAATAATAATAGTATACTTGACATTTTAATTAACTTATAATCAAATACCTCAAAACATGTTAATTCTGTGTTTTGGGAATGATAATGTAAGCCTACATTATTTTTCCAACACTGCTAAGAAAGTCAGGAATGAGTGTCTGAAACAGCCTGCTAAATCCAAATGTAAAATTTGTTTTCTTTTTAAACTGAGTTCATACCATGCCTTTAATGGTCATCATAACTGCATGGCCACTGTGAAATAAATCATTGCCATGACAAAAATTACCTTTGAAATATATCGTATCCCAAGGCCAGATATTACACACTGCAAACAGTTTTATTGTAGAAAAAAATAAAAGGCAAAATTTCTAATAGGAAAGAATAATAGTATTTTATATAAATACACTGAAATCTACACACCTGAAGCAGATTCCAGTTGGGGAAAACCAAATCACTGTATTAATATTATAATATTGTATGACTACTATTATACGATAACCTACCCAATCCAGAGAATATATAAAGGAGAAAATAACTAACATGAATGTTTTCATCTTGTGGATTATGAAACTGGCCCAGACACCACTTTAAAGATGGATGGCTCTAAGGTCAAACATGTATTAAACTACCTCTTTACTTATTATTGGGCAGAATATATTCTCAGAAGACCTAGAATGCTAAAGAAGGAAACTAGTTAGTGATAATAGCAACCTTAATAGCTTTTGTAACATTAAGGAAAGATTTTAAGTTGCTTGGTTTAAGAAAACCAATTCCAATCAGCTAAATATAAATAATAATTTCATGGTCAGAGTATTTAGAGAACTCTCTATAAGGAGGGAGAAAAGGTAAGACATCTACAGAAAACCTTTACTTCCTGATAAAGATAACTATGTAAAATATTATAGACAGAATTTCTGTGTAAGTTTAAAAGACAAGATGACTGCTAAGATTACTATCATAAAAGATTTACTCTATGATTACAACTGTCAACTTGAAAATCAAGAACTAAGGCATGAAGTTCTTTCTGACAATGGGTTATCAATGTATAATTATCAGCCATGAAACAAAAGATTTAATGAGCCCAGGTACTGACTAAATCAGTAACCTTAACTTTCTAACATCACCTACCAAGCTAATACATCACAAAAATTAAGAGGCTTTTAAACATAAATTCTGAAGCCCTAACCCATACCTGATGAATCAGAATTTTTAGGTTTTAAATCCAGTAATTTGTAAAAGCACCCAGAAAGAGTCTGATGATCAATTAGGCTTTAGACCCATTGTTTGCAAATGTAAGATTTCTAACTCAGATTAAGAAAACTGGTGTTGTCTATGGTTGCCAGTAAAGAGAAGCAAAAATTAATCTTTTGGTTAATTAATCAGTGATCTCTACTGATTATAACCAGTATTTGTAGAAGAAATATACTAGCCCACATTTAATTCATCTTTATTCATTCTGCCCTTTTCAAATATTAAGTGAAAATTAAACATAAGGGCATAAAACAAAGTTCTATCTTAGTTTCTATCCGTTCCATGAAACAAGTAATAAAGAAACCTACTTTAAAAAGAGAAAATGCTGCACAGGATCAAAGAAATATAAAGTTAAGATTTACTTATTTGTAATTAGCAAATTAACTTCCAAATTCTGAAGCACAGAGAACAACATCACTAAATATTTAAAACTGGTAGGGAGTATGATACGGTTGAAAGGATATCACAAATGGTAACAGTAATAAGAACAAGAAAAAAAGACATTTTTGCAAAGAAAACAAGGCCTTAATGTTTAAACAGCCACAATTATCTTCTAAAAGTTATTACTAACCCTACTGTTATGAACAACCCATTCTCTATATTCAGTATTTCTAAACTTCAAGATTAAATTAAAATTGCCACACTTGTCATTCTTTCTCTTTCAATGGAAAAATAGTATTCTGAATTGTTCCCTTAGCTAACTGCAACAAATTTCTTGTATTTAAACTTTGTAAAAACATCTTTTACTTGTCCCTTACTGTGTAAAGTAAGTAAAAACTTACACATACAAGGAAGCAATTTGCGAAGTACTACATCATCTAACTAGAACACTTATGTAAAACATTAAGATAATCAAATTTTTTAATTTAAAAAACAATTTAAATAAGCCTAGCAAAATATTAAAATAAACAGTCTGAACTTGAAACTATAAACAAATGAAGAATAAAAGCACTTACCTAAAATATGAGCTACATGTTGCCAGAACCATCTTATGACAAGGGAATTCAGTGCCCTCAACAATTAACACTATGTCAGTAAACAACTGCTGTTCATAAAACAGTTTTAACTGCTCCAACAAGGACACAGCATATTCCGTATTGATCTGCCTCTCCTCTTGAGTGGACATGACTGTATTCCATTAATAGCTCCCGGAACAGATTAGAAAAGTCAGTCTTACTGATGGAAGGTCAAGTGAACGCTTCAGAAATAAAGAAGAAACTCTACTTGCTATTATCCGCAGCATTCAGAACCAAGTCTGACACATTCACTATTGAACAGTATCTTGTTAGAGGTTTAGAATCATTTCTAGGTCATCTTTAATTAGGTTCTTCAGTTTTTCAACACAGTCTGCAGACATCTTGCTCAAATTTGTAATTCTTGTGCAGCTCACGAGTTAAAGAAAATAACACACGAGGTAGATTTTGTGGCAACATCCTATGTTCTGTGCATCCTCTGGAGTAACTAAAAGGAAAAAAAAGTTGTTAGGGTATTTAGGCCAATACATTTTTAGAACACAATGTTTAAAATGGTAGCCTTAAATATAAATAAAATTCATTTGAAATTCACCTGAAGACATTACCATAAAAATGAAACATGAAAAGGGACATTTTAAAAGTCTATTACATTCATAATGAAAAGCAGTCTGAAGAAATTAGCATTTGTAGCTTTAACTTTTGCCTTCTATAAAAATATAATCCTTTTAGAAAATAGGTAGCGTAATAGTAAGCGTACATTCTTAAAGGTCATTTAAAAGAGTTTTTAAATTTTTAGTATATTTTTTACATCATCAAGTTTTGGACTTGATTTGGTTTGTTCCCTCACGTGTAGTCCCCGTGATTCATCATCATAGTCCCTTCTGCTCATCCCTCCCCTGTTCTGACCCCACCTCTTCCTCTAGGGGCTAGTATGGCTCAGATCTATAGTCAGCTTACAAGTTTTGTCTTTTTCCTAACCCTTTGTTTGGTTTCTCCATATTCTGCATATAAGTGAAACCATCTGATATTTGTCTTTTTCCTTCTAACTTATTTTGCTTAGCATAATCCTTTCCAGTTCCATCCATGTTGCTGTAAAGGTATGAGTTTATGTTTTCTGAGTGCTGAACAGTATTCCATTTTGTCACTATACCACATCTTCTTGATCCTAAAATAAAGAATTTAAGTCACCGCAAGGTCAGATTTTCTAATACCTTTTTTAGTGGCAACATGTGACAATATTTCAGAGAACAACAGTACTTTCTCTTGTATGAAGAGTCTCATTTTGAGACTATATTTTCAGTCCATTCAAAAGACTTTTAGGGCCTCCCCTGGTGGCGCAGTGGTTGAGCGCTGGGTTGCGAAGGTGCCCGCAGCCTCTGCAGCTCCGATTCTATCCCCGGCTGCCGGCGAGGGTCCCACATGGCGCGAGAGACCTCTCCTGCCATGCCCGCTGCTCCCCTCAGTGGTATATTTCATCAGTCTGCCTGTTCTGTTCCCCGCTTTGGCTCTGGTGAATTCTCTCACCCTCCCGTACCTCTGACTGTACCCAGTGCTTGTATAAATAGATAAATCTTTTTTTAAAAAAAGACCTTTATATTTAAATTACTTAAAACTGTGTGATAGACTCTATCTAATTCCAAATTATAAGTTACCATTGTTCCATTCCATAAGAAAAATACATATATGCATGTGTGTATATTGTTATACAGTAGTGGTTCCTTCCTAGAAGTCTTTTCTTTAAAGATTTATTTATTTATTTATTTATTTATTTATACATACAAGCACTGGGTACAGTCAGAAGCGCGGGAGGGTGAGAGAACTCACCAGAGCCAGAGCGGGGAGCAGAGCAGGCAGAAGGACCAAAGTACACTGCTGAGGGGAGCAGCGGGCGGCAGGAGAGGTCTGCGCGCCACGTGGGACCCTCCTCCGGTGGCCGGGGAGCAGCCGGGGATCAAACCGGCGCTGCAGAGGCTGTGGGCAGCTTCGCAACCCAATGCTCAACTGCTGCGCCACCAGGGAGGCCCTCTAGAAGTCTTTATGAATAAGAGAATACAATGAAAAAGGAGATGTGCTCCTACATGAAAGACTCCCTATTATACAAATATGAATGTTCTCCAAACTAATGTGCAAATTTAATACAAATCCAAACTAAATTCGATTTGCAAGAGATTCATCTGGAAGGATGTGCAAAAGTTGCCAAGATATTTACAGGGAAGAGAGCCCAAGTTTTTCCTCATGACTTCTATCAAATATTAAAATTGTTACAAATCTACAATAAATTCAAGTACACATTAAGAAATTAGATGTGATAAAGATAAACATGACATTCAAAATGAAGACAAGCTTATTTTTACACATAATGTTAAAACATTTGGTCAACCACTAACGGAAAAAAAAAAACCACCTAGGTTTTAATTATACCGCATACCATTCATCAAAAAGAAATTCCATCTGAATTAAAGTTTAACTTTAAAATGTAATTTGGAAATCACTATTTCCAACACAGGGCAAAGGAATCACAAATCAGGAAAAGACGATGTAAGGCCCATACAGAATGCTATTAGTAGCTAAAAATGACCACCTCTTTTCTGTGACCTTTAGTTCTCACAATCAGAAAGTCACAAAATCAAAAAACATGACCATCACTAGAACCACTAAAACTTTTTCTCACAAAATATCACCCATACGTTAAACAGAAGATCACACTGTACTTCCTTCTGCCAAACTATAATATTACACAAACTGTTTTAACTTGATATCAAAGTTAAATTTCTATAAGACAGTAACTATAAGAGGTGTAAAGGCCAAGTAAGACTTTGGGTCATTTAAGGTAATGACTTTTGTTCAATCTGAAAGTTATAGTATAATCTAAGTTCTACTACTACTAAGGCTAAAAATCACTGGCTATTTTCACATATTAATCATGCATCAAGGCCCAGTATTCATGAATTGTGGGATAATGAGCATTCTTACACAGGAGTCTAAGTCGACACATGCTTACAAATCCTTAGTCAAAACTCTTAGAGTAAGGTATGGCCTAGAATTCATAACTTTTCAGATTTTGTAACGATAACAGGGTGCCTAAAAATATATATTTTAAGAATGCCAGAGTCTGGGGTAGCACTTCATAATAGAATATTGTATCTTCACTGTGAAGATATTTATTTATTTATTTTTTTTTTTTTTTGAAAATGGTGTCTGTAGTTTATTTATTTATTTTTTAAAGATTTATTTATTTATTTATTTATTTATTTATACAAGCACTGGATACAGTCAGAAGCGCGGGAGGGCGAGAGAATTCACCAGAGCCAGAGCGGGGAGCAGAGCAGGCAGAAGGACCGAAGTTCACTGCTGAGGGGAGCAGCGGGCGGCAGGAGAGGTCTGCGCGCCATGTGGGACCCTCCTCCGGTGGCCGGGGAGCAGCCGGGGATTGAACCAGCACCGCAGAGGCCGCGGGCAGCTTCGCAAGCCAGCGCTCAACCGCTGCGCCACCAGGGAGGCCCTGTGAAGATATTTAATGGTGTGAAAAATAGTACGTGCATGTCACTTCAGGTCAGGTTTACAGGCAATTGTTTAAAAAACTTGATTTTTAGTTTACTGAATTTTCAAGTTACAAGAAATTTATGTTACTGAAATGCATGCATTAGCAAACTGAAGGCACTAACTCCAGCTGCAGGACCCACTACTGTCCCCATCCACATTATTTATTTATTTGTTTGCTTGTTTGTTTATTCCCATCCACATTTAAACCAAGTGACAGGACCATCTGTCAGGACCAGGATGGATTTGGATCACACTGCTAGAATTCCTTGCCAATTAGCTGCACAGGCTCAAAGATTAATTTCTTACTACCTGATTTTTTACAGCAACCGTTTTTCTTACGTTTTTTAATCACAGGTATGGCGTAATAGTAAAACAACTGAAGAATGCTTTCAGAAAATTAGTGAGCCAACTTTATGTAATGGTGTAAGCTGCTCATCACTGCTTTATACACTTCTTCTTCTCATCCTTCTTTTGTAAGCCAGGGGCACATTTGCTTCCTAATAAAGCAATTTTTAATGTATCTTAATAATAAAATAGGCAGAACAAGCCATTCAAGTATCATGTTAAGTAAATAACAATAACGTAAGCAGATCAGTCTAGTACAATTCAAAATAAAACGAAATATCACTTCTCGGGGAAGACAGACTTCCAAATGTCTTAACTGAAAAAAAAAAAAAAATGCAAATAGTTTAAGATGATCAATCAACAACTTTCAAATGTCCATAATATGAATTTTTTCTATAACAAGATTCCTTCTCAGCCAAAAAAAAAAAAAAATCCTTGAAATGACTACCCTAAAAAATCTGAAACACTTCACAAGGTCTGTATTATATTACTTATCAGTGATTTGACACATTTCACAAACTTTCCCTTTTAATAATTACATTGTTTCCTTTTTCATTTTGTATTAGATCTAAAGTTAGCTTCAAAATAAGTCATACATCCTGTTACTTGTAGAAGTTAGCATGCTCAGACTAAGTAATTTTCAGGCATCAATTCATAATCAGGCACTTAATTTTCTATTATAAATTAATGGCTTCCTAAATTTTAGTCAATAAATATTTATTATTTACCCAGTGTTGACAAAAGAACTCAGACTAGGAGTTGTCAACTAGACTCCAAAACACCAAGCTTTACATGGTCTTAATATAGGCTACAACCAAAATCAAACTATTAACCAATTATTCTAAGCAAACTCAAAAACCAAAAGAGAAAAGGCAGGTAAGTAAACTAAGTTGGGTATAAGAAACATTTTCCATGAAGTCTAGCTGTCTTGATCTTTTATTTTCAAACTTTTGATAGATATAACTACAAGAAATTTTATTCTTTACTATAAGAAAAGTTGTAGTACAAGTAAAATGAGCAAAGGAGGCAGTTGGCCTAAATGCTAAGCAGTGAGGCAGAAAAAGAAAAAAACTACTTAAGACCTATTTAAAGTATGTGAAATTTATTAACACATGCAATGATTATCTAATTTTAAAAAACCTAACTTTCAAAAGCTGTACTAAGTGCTAAGAAGGTATCTTCTCATTACAAAGTGAAAACATTTTAGTCTTTGCAGGCCATAAGATGTCTGTCCCAGATGCTTAATTGTTGTAGCCTGAAAACAGCAGAGACAATATGTAAATGAGTGGAAATAACTGTGTTCCAATAAAACTTTATTTACAAGCAAAGCCTGCAGGTCACATGTGCCAATCTCTGCTTCTTGATCAAATATTAAGGGTCAGTGACCAAAATGTGTAACTCAAGCTGTTTTTCCTAGAAAAATGTTTTGTCTTCAGATCACAAAGACAAGAAAAAGCAAATCATAATTAAGTTAAATATTATTCTAACCTGTATATGTTATTACACATTTTAACTGAAATGTTCTCTCACCAATCACACAACTGCTTTCCACACCTACTGCAGGTTCAGTGGAATTCTGAACATTTTTTCTTTTATTTAGTGAGTACCCACTATTAAGATTTAAGACATTAATTCCCAAAATAATGCTTTAAAGAAAACACAGTGAGAACATACTCTAGTAAAAAACACATAAATGATTATTTTATCAACCACAAAAATATCTACAAACATTTTGAAAAATAGAAAATTTTTACAACACAGTACTTGAGGACACACGAATTCATTAGATAAATCAAGGGTTAGAGTTTGGGAAATCAGTATTATGTGCCACAATTCCTGGTACCAGGGGCTGTAAGATAGTCCTTTATTTTAAAATTGGCCATTAGGATATACTGCACAATGAAAAAAGCCAACTCTTAGAATTGGGAGCAATATAAACATATGATGAAATTCAAAATCTAAAATACAATATACTTACGACAAAAATTACAGATGTTCTTACTCTTAATGACAGAAAATTATAACAATGAGTAGGATTAGAATTCTATACACAGGATGAGATCCTCTCCTCTACTTTCTACCTGGTGACCTCTGTCAAATAATTAAGGAAAAAGAAACTTATTTAAGTCTCACGTGTCCTATAAAAGTACAGAGTTTATAAACTGAGACTGAAAGAAAAAAGATTAAAATTTGGGCTCTAATACATTTTTACTAGGATTCCTAAGCTTCGAAGATCCAACTGACTGAATTCTACCACACAAGTTTCAAAACAAACATTTTGCTATTAAACATCAGGATTAAATCCATCAGCAATCCGTACTAATATAATCAATTCTACTTAAAAAAAAAATCAGAAATATTTCTTAAGGAAAAATATTCCAACAGGTTTTCCATCCTTAAATAATCATGACTACAAAATACAGTTAACCTGCGTTTTCATTTTCACCATAAAATCAGAAAAATAGAAAATTTCAAAACTTTCAAATTACGGGTATGCCAAAAATTATGTTGGTTGTCTTGAATTCTCACTTCATTTGCTGTTAACGGTAAAAAAAAAAAAAAAGCCAAAATATGCCCAATATGATGTCTGCAAAGATTTACACAAAGTAAACACTAATGTAATATATACTATTGTAGGGCCTCCCTGGTGGCGCAGCAGTTGAGCGCTGGGTTGCAAAGCTACCCGCAGCCTCTGCAGTGCAGGTTCGATCCAGGCCGCCAGCAAGGGTCTCATATGGCATGCAGACCTCTCCTGCTGCCCGCTGCTCCTCTCAGCAATGTACTTCGTCAGTCTGCCTGCTCTGCTCTCCCCTCTGGCTCTGGTGAATTCTCTCACCCTACTGCGCATTCTGACTGTACCCAGTGCTTGTATAAATAAATAAATCTTAAAAAAAAATACTATTATAATATGCATAAATAACAGCAACAATTTTTATGTTCCTCATAAATTCTGTACATGTTGATATAAAGGAATAGGAACCAAGTTTAAATGGTGAAAGGTATAGATACTGAAATTTAAAAAATAATTCCAAATATTTTTAAAGGTTTCAAAGGTAGACAATAATGCTTTTTAATAGGGGAGAGAACAGGTCTAATTTCCCTTTAAAAACCCAGCTTCAGCGGCCTCCCTGGTGGCGCAGACAGTTGAGCGCTGCACTGTGAAGCTGTCTGCAGCCTCTGCGGTGCAGGTTCGATCCCAGCTGGCCGGCGAGAATCCCAAATGGCAAAGCAGACCTCTCCTGTCTCGCCTGCTGCTCCCCTCGGCAGTGTATTGTGTCAGACTGCCTGTTCTGTTCCCCGCTCTGTCTCCATTGAATCCTCTCACCCTCCCGCACATCTGGCCTGTACCCCCGCTCTTATGTAAAAATAAATATATCTTTAAAAACAAACAAATAAAAAACACCCCGCTTCAGGCCTCCTCTGGTGGCGCAGGTGGTTGAGTGCAGCACTGTGAAGCTGTCCGCAGCCTCTGAAGCGCAGGGTTTGATCCCGGCCGCAGGGGATAATCCCACTTGGCTGGTAGACTTCTCTTGTCTCGCCCACTGCTCCCCTCAGCAGTGTATTTCAGTCAGTCTGCTTGTTCTGCTCCCCACTGTCTCTGGTGAATCCTCTCACCCTCCAAAACTCTGGTCTGTACCCCGGTTCTTGTATGCATGAATAAAAAAATCTTAAAAAATAAATAATCCAACCAACCAACCAACCAACCAACCTAGCTTCATTCCCACAGGTGTGGGCCATTTGTGGTACCCTTACTGAGTAGATGGAGGAACGCAAATGGAAGCAAAGCAATGTTTTCCAACATTAACCAGGCAAGACCTGGAGGACCAAGGAAAGAATAAAAGATTAAATAACAACTCAACTGAAAAGGAGACTGAATAGTCATTACTGAGCTATGTATGTTAAACTCAAGGAAAGAAAGATGGGGGAAAAGACTACAAACAAGGCCTGCACAGGAATTACACAGTAGGGATGAAACTGTGACAGAAGGGCCAGGGGCTACACAGATCGTCATCTGTATGAAGCATTTTCAAGTTACATATTACTGAGGAGGTGCGGCTTCTTCCAAAGCTACAATTCAGAAGACTGAAAACTTTTTTTTATTGAAAAGGATCCAAGCAGCTCTGAATGTCAAGTATTGCAAAAAAAAAAAAAAAAAAAAAAGAGCATGAATTGTAGTGCCAAATTACTGGGGTTGAAAGCCCAATTCTGCAACGTACTAGTTGTGTGACATTTTATAAATTACTTACTTTGTATGCAGTGGTATATTCATCTGCAAAATGGGGGATTAAAAATAGAACTCTTTTCTTCAATGGATTAAGGATTAAGTGAGTTTCATACGGAGCTTGGAACAGAGCCTGACATACAGCACTATTATAAAAATATCTGCAATTATTTTTATTAATGCAATCACTGTTCAAATGTTTTGTAGCACTTTTCCAACTCCTTAATCCCCACTACACACGTACACTAGATCTAGTGGTCCCAAATACAAGGTCTCAGCACTCAAACAGTTCTTTTTTCACCCTGGATAAATGGTATTTCAGGTAAGAGAAAATTCATTCAAAGATTTTACAGAATATTCTGATGGTATACATCATGACACAAACTAGTTCAACAAGACTAATCTTGACAAGGCTGATGCCAAGTGCAGAGAAACCAAATGAGAAGCAGGAAGGCATCAATCATAACAAGCTGGTCTTCATTTCTATGAGGAGACATGTTTCTCCTACAGGAGGACAAGATATCGGGCCCAGTAGTAGTTTGCTTTCATGTTATCAAACAACCCTCACAGTTGAGGATATTTGGAAAAGACCATTTGGTCGTTAAGATTGTCAACCACTTTACAAACAGAACATTTAAAGTTGTGACAAACAGTAATTAAAAAACTAACACCTTGTCTTTTGAAGGATTCATCAAGTGTGAGTCAATTTCAGTACAGCTTTTTCTACCCCAATTAAGTTTAGAGTTCAGGTCTACTGCTCTGCGTTCCCGCTTCCCAACCATACAGAAAAAACTACATGGCAACATCAGGGTAAATATGCTCAGCACCCTAAATAAATTCAGTGACAAATATAAGCTTCTGCACTGCATTACGATTAAGTTACACCACTGCTAAAAAATTAAGTAAGAACATAAAAGAGACACCAACTATGCTAAAAAAGGTATGTCCTTTCATCTTGGATATCACTTTTCTTTTTTTCCTCTCAGTTCTATAGTGACTTATTAAGAAAGCTCTGTAAATACAGACTGAAGCAAAATTGATCCTAACTTTTTCACTGGGATTTCATTTTCAACCAAGGCAGTGATTTTTACAATCAAAATAGCAAAAAGAAAACATTTCCCATATAGTCAAACAAATTCACGTGGTAATTAAGAGCACAGCCACTTAATGATTATGACTACTAAAGTTTCTCAGTATGCTTTAAAAAATTGAGAGTAAACTGAGGAATACTTAGAATTGTCTGCTTACCATGGAAACTACACATCAACACTTGTGAGAGGAATGGGAGTAGAACAGAGAAAGGGGAGAATTTTCAAAAGCATCTCTCATTAAAGGATTATATTTTCTCCAAATCTCCTACAATAACCTCTTTTTCCCACACAGAGGAACTCAGGTACTGAAATTCCTGGCCAGGAAACCAGGAATAATGTTCATATACTTATGTAAATGTACTTCAAATCAACCTGTCATTTCTAATACTCTTTAAGTTATTTAAATATTGTTCACTCTATTCAAATCCCACAAAACTGAAGTCAGTAAAACTGAGCTCTAATGAAGAATATTTGACAATTTCATTCATATATTTCATGTATTTCATGGCAACAGGTCCAATCCTTTTTCCTGGGCTTAGGAAGTGGGTAAGAAGAAAAATGACTCTACTGAAAAATGCGTAACGTTTTTTTGAAAACCCAGTTATCATTTGGCTAAGACTGCACTCAAGTTTCTAGGAACTTACCACCCACCTTAAACACATTCCAAGTTTAATGGTTGGGTTCCACGAAATACCTCATTATTTCCACTAATCAGAAGAAATAGAATCTACAGAGAAGTTAAATACTAAGACACTTCTTCCCTCCATCTCACTATGAGTCCTATGAATAGCTGAAGTTAACAGAATGTATGGTAATGCTTATGAGATCAAAAAAAGGGGGAAAGGAGTTAAAGCATTCCCTTCTTCCCACAGAACTGCGGGAGTGAACAGTCCTATGTGGATAACCGTGGACTTCAGAGAGCAACAGAACTGCCAGTCTTGTGTTTACCAATGGACTGCACCTTTGAGGAATTTTGGGCCCAATCTAAAACCTACCAACAAAAGCTCAACGTGAAGTAAACTTAACATTAATTAGTAAAATGTAAGGAGAGCAAAATTCTACAACACCAAGATGGGAAAACGGGTCTGACTTTTCGATTTACTTTAGGTCAGAAAGAAACGTCATCCTGAAAATAAGTCCTTACCAAAGGTTAACTGACACGAGTTACTCACAATTACAAGAGATGGTAAGTGCATACTTCTCAAATTGAGGCAAAAATTCACATTTCAGAAGCAAAACAAAACAAAAACAAAAACCCCACCATGTTTATTAGTCCTCTCAATAGAAGAAAAAGCAATTTTGAGTAGAACACATTGCTGACAGGGTTTTGTTTGTGAATGTCTGAACGCTCAGTGAGCCAGACCGACAGATTCCTGTATAAACAACACGTGACCAGTCCTGGCCCTGCATTTTTCTATGGCCAATCAATATAGAAAGCAGACATTTCACACAAACATACCCTTTTAAAATTAATTTTTCCTTTCAGCTTCTTTTTCTACTTTCACTGGAAAGGGGCATCGTGGCAGTGGACAATGCAAGAGATCTGTTGCCCACGGAGTGTCTATACTCCTCTTCCCTTGAGGTAGCTAGAGAGAATTTAGGTTGCTAAACCAGGGGGGGTAAAGAACAAACAAACAAAACCCCCAAACCCCAACACACTAACTCAAAACAACTGCCCCACATCACATTAAGGAATATTCTTCTACTCCGCGGTTTCCAATTCATAGGGAGCCAGTTCTCATAAGTTAACGATTTCGGTCTAAAGTAAACATGTACACAATTTCCCGTTGCAAAGGGCAGCTCTTGCTTTCTTTCTAGAATCATTGGCTCACAACGCGACCTGTTTATCTGGCCATCTCTGGGGAGTTTCAAAGGCACCGTTACAGAAATAATGCGAGGAAGGACTTGTCTGCCCTCGGTCCACCATCTCGCGAACTCGCCGCGAGTCGTTAGGGGAAACAGCTTTATTTTGACCAGGGCGGGCGCCGGCCGGGGATCGGGGTGGGGGGGGCGCCGCCCGGAGGCTCCCCAGGCCGGGGCCGGGGCCGGAAACGCCCCCGCGAACGGCGCGCCAAGCGCCCCAGCCCCTCGCGCGGGCCGGGAGCGGGACGCCGAGGAGCCGCCGCCCGGTATGGAGGGCGGCGCCGGCCGCCCGCTCCCCTCCCCCGCCCGCGGCGGAAGCGTCTGGGTTTGAAAGATGCCGCCGCCTCCCGCCCGCCGAGCCACAAAGGGCCGAGCCCCCTCCCGCCGTCGCCCTCCGCCCCCAATTCCGCCACGGGTCGCCGCGGGCTCCCGGCGCCCGCGCCCTCCCGCCCGCCCGCCCGGCCGGCGCTGGCGGCGCCCGCTCACCGGCGTCCCGCAGACCTGACGGCCGCGATGCGCTCCGGCCCGCGGCCCCGCAGACACTGGGGCCCTCAGGCGCGGCGGCGGGGGCGTGGCCCTCCCGCCGGGGCCAGGGCTGGGGTCTCGCCTCCCCTTCCCGCCGAGGAAGGCTGGCGCCGCCGCCTCTTCCTTCCGGTTTCTCCTCGCGCCCTCCCCCGGTCGGCCCGTCCTGCGCCGAGAGCAGCGTCCTCAACGGGCGCCGCCGCACGCTCCTTAGGGCCGGGCCAGCGCCAGGCTCCGCCCCCGGGGGCCGCGCCGCCTCGTCAGCCCGGGGCGCCCAGACGGCCGGCTCGCCGCCCCGGGCCCGCCCCCGCGGCGCGCTCTCGCGCTCCTCGTGGCCCCTCTCCGCGGCCCGTGACGCGCGGGCGGCGCGCCCCTCCCCGCCGGGCTCCTTCCCCGCCGCTCTTGCGCGCCTGGCGCCACAAACGGCAGTTTTACAGTTTCCCGGGTTCCCGAGCGCACCCCCCCACCCCCCGCAGCTTCCCCCGCCCTGTTCCTTCGCTGCCTCCCACCGGAAAGCCAAAACAATTGGATCCGCGCAGGCGCGAAAAGGGAAGCGGAAAGAGCTGGAAGGGCGGGGGCGGGGCGGGGCGGCGCGAGGTGACGGGGCGCGCTGTGCAGGGGTTTCCCGGGGAAGGTCAGCGGAGGGCGCGTGCGCCGGGAGCGGGCTGTCCCGCAGGCGGGCGGGCGTGGGGTGCCTGCGTTGTCGGGCCGCTGCTAGTGTCTGTGGGCGAGGAGGGGCCCGAGAAAGTCGTTATTGGGAGGTCCAGACGGCCCCCCCACACCCCCGAAATAAAGAGACTTGCAAGGCAGGTCGAGGGATGGGGATGGGGGAGACTAGGCGACACTTAAGGGGAGACGGTGGGCGGCCGGCCGAGTGGGCTTTGTCTCTTCATCCCCTTCGCTCCAAAACACCCTCCACTTTCCAAAGCACGCATGTTTAGTTTCTCCGATTTCATTAAGAAGGGCTGCAGGTCCTCGTCTCAAGGCCGAGGAAAAACTCGAAGCAGCACTTGAAAGAACTCACTTAGGGAGAGGAGCAGTGCGGGTGCGGAGGGGGCCTGTGTGCGTGCAGCCTGAGCATAGTTCTGTGCTGCAATGCGGAGGCTCCCCAGTCCCGGCCCCCTCCAGCCCCCCCCAAGTTCGGAAAGAGTGCCTTCAGTTTTGCCTCACAAAGCCAAACGTTTGCAGCAGCTAATGGCTGTGGCTCACACTAGTTTGCTTGGCACAGCTCGCTAGCAAGCAAAAGAATGTTGTGTGCGTGTTTTGATGCTAAGCAATAAAGAAGCCATGCAAAAGATTCAGTTATTTAACAAGCACTTGAGCACCTACTCTGGACAGAATCCTGGAAATGCAAAGCCTAGACAAGAAGGCAGAGACAGCAAACGATATCTATGGGAAGAGTCTGTTTCATCCTGTAGACAGATTCATTAAAAATATTAAAGAAGGAAAACATACTGACAAGATTTTTTTTTTTTTAATTCTGAGGCATGGTAGATACTGAACTGGAAGCAGGGTGAGGGGGCTGATAAAATAGTTGAGACAAATCTAATTGAATGCCTGTGACGTTAGTGAAACAGATGGATTTGAAATTACCCAGACATGACAAATAACACTTGATTATGAAGAGGATGAAGGAAAATAAGTGAGGGACCAGTGAGTTTTCTAGTTTCGGTGATTACAGGTAATATTAACTATATGAAAAGTAGTAATTGTGAGGATGAACAAGACTAAGAAGGTGTAATTTTAATAGCTGTACCACTTATATACAGTTAGGAATATTTTTGGTTATAAGTTTAAAAACAAATCCATTGCAATGACTTAAATATAGTCACACAGCAAGCAATTCAAGAACAGCAGGGCCACAATTTCTGTGATTTTTTTGACATCTGTCTCGTGGTTGCAAAATGGCTGCCAGTTTTAAACTTTCACACCTTTGTCAAAACAATAAGATGGGAAAGGAGTGTCTTTGACCATCTGTTTTTGTTTTGTTTTCCAGGAAAGTAAAGGCTTTCTCAGGACAATATCTTACAACCCCAACTCAAAAACTTATATATTCAGCTCATTTTCTGGAACTGTAATTTAACTACCAGTAGCTGCAGAGGTTTTTCCTAATTCTAACACAAGGCTGTAAGGCAGAAAAGGGGTGGGAATGGATGTTGGGTGAGACTAACAGCTATCTGCTAGTTAGGTATTACTTAAAGCATCCCCTTTCAACATTTAAGCCACTGAGGGCTGGCAGGCTGCTATGATGTGCCTTAGGTTTCAAAAAAGCCAGTCATTTTGGTGTGTTATCTTAACTGGGGGGAAAAAAAAAAAAGGTTGAATGTTTATCCTCAAATATTTGTACTTGTTTGCCATTCCTTCCCTCAAGGTCGCCATCCCTTTAAAATGTCTCAGCGGGAATTGGAACAATCAGTAAGAAGTGTTGTATTTTAAAATAAACACTCAACAGTGAACTTAGGTACTAGAATCTAGAATAATAAAAGCCCACTAATGTTACTCTTAATTATTAAGAACAGCTTCACATGGGCCTCCCCGGTGGCGCAGCGGTTGAGCGCTGGGTTGCGAAGCTGCCCGTGGCCTCTGCGGCGCCGGTTCGATCCCCGGCTGCTCCCCGGCCCCCGGAGGAGGGTCCCACATGGCGCGCAGACCTCTCCTGCCGCCCACTGCTCCCCTCAGCAGTGTACTTTGGTCCTTCTGCCTGCTCTGCTCTCCGCTCTGGCTCTGGTGAATTCTCTTACCCTCCCGCGCTTCTGACTGTACCCAGTGCACGTATAAACAAAAAACAAAGAAAGAAAGAAAGAAAACATGCCTCTGTATTAAAAAAAAAAAAAAGAACAGCTTCACATGATCTTAGAGTTCATCATTATTGGGTAAATATGAGAAAAGAACAAAGAAATACCATTTAAAAATTAGTGTCATTAAAAATAAATAAATAAATAAAAATTAGTGTCAGAGTTGTACCAAATAGAAGAAGCCAGATATAAAAGAATGTGCTCTTAAAATGGGTGTATTTTAGTCAATGTAAATTATACATGCATACATTTGATTTTAAAAATTAGCATGATGATTTAAAAAGTCATTGTTATTTTATCACAAACAGGGTCCTCTGCTACATGCATTATACTCTGCTGTCTATTGCAGCACTAGCTACTTAAATCTTTAATTGTCATACAACTTATCACAATTGATAGATATTTCTCACTTGGCAAATCAAATTCCAATAATATTTCATTATTATTTCAACATATTTTTTGTAAAACAAAGTATATTCCAAGAAAATAATTTTAAAAATGGAAGTTTGGGGATTATTTTTCACCTTAACACAAGAAAAGTGCAGTATATTTTTCAATGACAGTATAAGTAATTGCATTTTCTTACATTTTTGATGCCATGAAACCAGAAATTATCCTACTTTTTCCCAAATTTCTGCCTTAGGCACTGTTGCCTTCCCAGGATGAAGGACATCAATGAATATTTGTTTCTGCTGAAACAGTTGGTCATGAACTTCCTGATCCAGATCACCGCTGTGTCAATCATGATGGCAACAGATCTTTATCAGTTTTCTAAAGTCAATATTGTGCTGAAGGTCTTAGATAAACACAAAGAAGAAAAATGAGGAAATATTCATTGAAAAGGAAGAAACAAAACTTACTATATTTGCAATGATTTATGTCTACATCAAAAATCCAGACAAATCTACCAAAAATTGAAACGGATGACTGTTCACCAGTTTTTGGAATATAAAATCGATATATATCAGTAGTATTCCTGACATCAACAACAGTCAGAAAACATAATTTAAACAAATCATTTTCAAATAAAAACATTTACTTTAAAAGATATTTATAAAGGGAATTATAAATTATTTAAGATTCATCTATGGAGGCTTCCCTGTGGCGCCGCAGGTTGAGTGCAGCGCTGTGAAGCTGTCCGCAGCCTCCGCGAGGCCGGTTCGAGGCCGGTTCGATCCCCAGCATGCCAGGGCAATTCCCACAAGGAGCGGCAGACCTCTCCTGTCTGGCCCGCTGCTCCCCTCAGCAGTGTATTTAAGTCCTTGTGCCTGT